ATCGTTGTTTTTCTTTGAAGAAGAAATATCTGAATTATTTATCCATTATGATAATAATATTACTCTTTTGTTGTTTTTTAAAGTAGGTCACGAATGCAAAGATGTAAAACATTTGCCACGTTATTACAAATTGTAAATTAGTGTTATCAGTTTTATGTAGAAAAGAAAAGGAAACTAAAAAAAAAGGCTTAGAGAAGTATAATATAGGTTATCCTATCTTTCCACCTTTCGTGTCATTGGTTATTGAAAGACTATGATGAAGTGAACACAATCTATGCAATTCAGACTTTTTAAGCTACTCATACCATACACTAAAACGTTCATTCAACAGCTACAATGTGAAGTTGTTCACAGACAGAGATAATGCTTGACGTATATTCTGCACAATTTAATTGATTAGTTTCTCCTTGGAACTTACACTTTCCGAAATGAGGAGTGTTTGAAGAAAAGAGGTTTTCAAGAGATATAAATCACCATTTCCGGTGGTCTTTCTTTTTAACCTGCGTTTACAAAGCTTAATCGATTGGTCCCACCGATCCTTTCTATAAGACTTTCCAGTACGCTCACACAAACAGATAACGCCTGAGTTGCAATCTACATTCACCCAATTTTAATCGATTTAGTCGCTCGAGATCTTTTATTTTATTAAACTCATCTAACTCCGTGAAATAACATCTTAAAAAGAAAACTCTTGAGGCATTTTACTAAGACTGCCTCCTCATACATTTGTATAACAAACTGTTTCTTTGCATAATCTGAAATAGATTGATCATATGAGGTGTCACGTGACTGCTCGATTCCTATAAATATAAAAATGTTTGTTTGTTTGTTCTTAAGCACAAAGCTACACATTGAGCTAGCTATGTTGTACACATCATGGATATCAAAACCCAATTTCTAGCACATAAGCTCTCACACTTACTGCTGAGCCATTGGGGGCAAATATAGGATGAAGTCACATAGTTAATGCAGAAGAAAATGAGTAAGAAATCTGATAGAAATATGACAGTGAATATCTGTCTGAGAAGTGTGGTCTTAAACAAAAATGTTGCTTTGTTTAGGTGCTAAAAAACAATGCCATCAAAGTATATTAACATCGGAAATCGAAAAGGAACAAGTCTTGCACAAGATAAGTCCGTGTCTGCCAGCTGCGTGTGATTGAAAGAAAGATTCGATTGGACAGGCCAAAAAAAAAAACATAACTGACTGATTCTTTCAATAATGGACAATATTCTAATGGCTCCGGCTTTATCATGAGAAGGTCATTACAACTAGCCTGAAATTGCTTATCTCATATGCTCAGGTGAAAAAAATAACTATCGCTTCAAGGTTGTTTGGATCCAATATTTGGACAAAGATTGGCCAAAATTGTATGATTTAGTCTGATGTTAAAATATGGAGAAAATCATGCGAGGCGCATGACTTCATTTGCACTGTTTTGACAATGGAAAATACTGGAAGGCTCGTACGTACTTTACCCAAAAGCGGTCACTTTTCGGTAATATCACAATACCTAAGTAATGCCAAACAATGTCAAAGTGCAGTTCTAATACATTCTGTTCCACTTTCACTTTATATTGGCTATGGTTGTCACGTGGCTTGCCGATTTGCCTATTCAACATTGTTTTAGTATAACGTAATCAACCCTTTGTTTGCTCTATCACTGATTTCATTTCCATGAAAAATGTCTTCCTTTTTCACACAGGTTTTACATAGATGCAATCTAATATCTTAAAGTAGAATTTTCTGTGAAATTTTAAGTTTTGATAACAAAATCATCTAACTTCAGCTTTTCTTACAGAGATATTCCGTAACTCTAATTTATATTAAAAATATCTTAAAGAAAGTGATTATTTTTAAATAAGTTTGATTTTTTACAAAATTGAAATATAAGACCAATTTATCTAATATCCTCACCTGACCTGCACTGGCAAAACTTTCATAGCTTCTGCAAACGAAACTTTAACATCTTCTCCCGTGACCTGTGCTGACGAAACTTTAACATCTTTGCCCATGGCTTTTGCTAACGAAACTTTAATATCTTCGCCCGTGACCTGTGCTGACGAAACTTTAACATTGTTGCCCGTGACCTGTGCTGACGAAACTTTAACATCTTTGCCCATGGCTTTTGCTAACGAAACTTTAATATCTTCGCCCGTGACCTATGCTGACGAAACTTTAACATCGTTGCCCGTGACCTGTGCTGACGAAACTTTAACATCTTCGCCCGTAACCAGTGTTGACGAAACTTTAGACATTCTTTCTCTCAGTAACACTGATATTACTATTGACATTTGATAACTCTTTGTTTTGGTCTATCTTTTCATATCATCTTTTTTTACCTCCTGTCACAATATCCATAGCTTTGTATCTACTCAGGCCTTACTTCATTTACAAAATAACATTGTACAGTCCCGTTTGATGTTTCGTAAGACCTCTTACTATATCAACGTTATCAAAGTGCTTCTACTGACATGAATGTTTCACATAGTCCAACCACACTGTATTGTCCTCTGTCTACCATCCTTCAGTCAAGCTTAGAAACAGCCTTCAATTATTTTAGTTCTCATCCAGAGATTGTATATAAATGCAACATCCGAACCTTTGCAGATGTTAGTATCACTTTCCAAGTCTAAGTCCTTTTATTTTCCCGTTAACATCCTTGAGAGACTTGAAATAATTCATGTAAAATTAGCTCGTTGAAACCTATTGTATCTTACTATTAAACGGGTATGGTTTATTCATGTTATGATCATGATAATAACATTGAAAATAAAAATAACACGTAAGACGATATGTGATTAATATAAACTGTAATTTTCAGAGCCTCGGGAAGTTATGATATCGTCTGGTTGTACTAACCTAAACTATGTCTTAAATATAATTATATAGCAGTTAACAGCCCTCACACCAAGAAACAATTCCAGAATTTAGATATTTTTATACACAATAGGACTTTATGTAGATGTTTATAACAACACTTTGAAAACACTCGAATTTTTGTACAGAGTTGTAGCATAAAAGAGGTTTATGTAGCTAGGTTAACAAAATAGCCAACTCATTTTTACTTGTATCATACAAAATTCAACTAAATAACTAATTCATTTTCACTTGTAGCATACAAAATTCAACTAAATATCTAACTCATTTTCACTTACAGCATACAAAAATTAACTAAATAGCTAACTCATTTTCACTTGCAGCATACAAAATTTAACTAAATAACTAACTCATTTTCACTTACAGCATACAAAAATTAACTAAATAACTAACTCATTTTCACTTGTTGCATACAATATTTAACTAAATAACTAACTCATTTTCACTTGTAGCATACAAAATTTAACTAAATAACTAACTCATTTTCAATTGTAGCATAAATATTTAACTAAATAACTAACTCAGTTTCACATGTAGCAAACAAGATTTAACTAAATAACTAACTGATTTTCACTTTCAGCATACAATATTTAACTAAATAACTAACACATTGTCACTTGTAGCATACAATATTTAACTAAATAACTAACTCAGTTTCACGTGTAGCATACAAAATTCAATTAAATAACTAACTCATTTTCACTTGTAGTAAACAAGATTTAACTAAATTACTAACACATTGTCACTTGTAGCATACAAAATTCAACTAAATAACTAACTGATTTTCACTTGTAGCATACAAAATTCAACTAAATAATTAACTCATTTTCACTTGTAGCAAACGAAATTCAACTAAATAACTAACTCATTTTCACTTGTAGCATACAAAAATTAACTAAATAACTAACTTATTTTCACTTGTTGCATACAATATTTAACTAAATAACTAACTCATTTTCACTTGTAGCATACAATATTTAACTAAATAACTAACTCATTTTCACTTGCAGCATACAAAATTTAACTAAATAACTAACACATTGTCACTTGTAGCATACAAAATTCAACTAAATAACTAACTGATTTTCACTTGTAGCATACAAAATACAACAAGTGTTCAACTAAATAACTAACTCATTTTTACTAGTACCAAATACAATCTTAATACCTTTAACGGATTTATAATTTTAGTTTTAGAATTATCGCACTTTCAAAGTAAGAACATCAAGTACAATAAGTATGTTTTTAACTAACGTGGTAATATGTTTAGTTAACTTACTAAGACATAATATAAGAGTATAATCACAAGCTCAAAAATAGTACGGATTTTTTTTCTACTAGATTTTGTCATCTCATTTTTCACTTATGGATGAGTTTTCTAATTCTCTTTTATTTATTATCTAATTGTGACATGCTGATTTTGAGCTTGATCTGTTTCTAAGCGTCAACTCGAAATGAATATATAACTTTTTTTTAATTTTTTGTCAAAGTCCATCCACAAACAATTTTACAATAATTATGATTCGAACAACAAGCCAAAATTCTACATATTTTTAGAAAAATTTTTGTTAGCGGAACTGAATTAATCACAATATACACATGTGCTTCAATTATTACTCTGTTACGTAGATTACAACTTTGAGTATAAAATACACTAATGATATCGATTCCGTTTTGATTTCAAAAGCTGAAAAAAAGGATCACAGATACCGGCAACGATTTTTATTATAGCTCGTGATATATTATACTATTTAGTATGATCTTAACATAACTATATTAAAAGTAATTACTAGAAGTAAAAATAAGACACAAGGGACATTTAAGTTGAGCTTGTTATTTGAACTAAACCCTTCCTAAATATTCGTAGCAAAGAAACAAATATATTGATTTAGTGTTCTCGAACAAATATTCACGATGTTATGATTACTCCTTATAATCGTGGGATGCTGTTGGTTTTAAGTGTAAAGATGTACTGGTGCCACAACCACCTTTCAACCATGTATAGAGTTTGCGCACAGCGTAACGGAACACGTGGACAGAGCAGAAGACTGCGGAGCAAGAGGGGACAGGAAACAGCAGAGGGGTGGGGAACTGTGCCTCGCGCGTGCTACGATACGGCTCGAGGATTGAACTGGCTAGAGCAGCGATTCTCAGCCTCGTAAAGACAGTAGAGCAAGTGATGCCAGACTTGGGGGTAAGTACCACAAATCAGGATTATACAAGAACTCCTCTTGAAAATACTATGAAAACAAATATCTTAGCTCATTGTTTTAATTGTTAGAATCTTATAATATTCTCAAAGCTATGATGCAGAGACACAAGAGGTTACAAATAATAGAATTGCATAATCGCTTCCCAATAACAGTTCTTTCCTGCAGCAAAGAAGATCGTTCTTAGCGTGTAGAGGAACGTAAGTTAGCGTATAGAGGAACGTGTTTTGTTCCTATTGCTGCAGCTTATATTTTCCATGCTTCTGCTATGTGCCTCTTTTCTATCAGTTTTATGATTACTTAACGGTAAGTTTGTGTAGATCATACGAAGACTAAGAAATGTGTTTTTTATTATATTTTACTTAAGTTCACCGTATCTGCTTGAATCATTGTAAACTTAAAAAGATTCTGCAATCAAAGTGAGTCTGATCATATCGGTTTAGTCAGTATTAAACTTCAAATAAGTTATGTTTTATATTACAGTAAACTAATAAGCATCAGGACAACTCTTGGCTATTTTAGGATTTTATTCTTATATACATTAATTTACTCTTTCTCGAATATTTCACATCTGCTTTACAATTTAATAGTTTATAAATTATTTTGGTGCTTTAGCATATAATGTTTTAACTTTACGCCAGCCAGCATTATTCTGATCATACATTCAATGTTCTTAAAGTTTGCTTGATATTAAATCTTATCTCACCTGCCTTGTGCTTCTCTGATAGGCAGACCAACCAGTATTATTTTGATCATACATTCAATGTTCTTAAAGTTTGCTTGATATTAAATCTTATCTCACCTGCCTTGGGTTCTCTGATATTTATGTTGACTTATATTACCTGATAGCTCCTAAGACTATCTCAACATAGTTTATTAATATATTATGATACTGTATTCTTTCTAGTTTATTTAACTTTTAACAATAGATTCTAGTTTTGAAAAATTGCTTCTAAGCCTTAAATAACATTTTCTTCCTTTACATTAAACTATATTATTTGTGAGGTTCCAGTTTTCTACCTCTGAGTCTACTTTCTTCACTTTGCACTTCCTTTATTTAGCAATATATTTTGATAACGTTTAGTTTAAATCTCATTGATATACTCCTTATGCTTGCAGTAAAGTCTATCTTACCTATTATGTCTAAAACTTGTTTCTATTTATTTTACTATGGTATTAAAGTTATTCTTTTGAGAATCTCGTGATGAAGATTAATTTCCCTGTGTGATGTTTAAACTGTTTTCAAGTTTATGAATTATATTCAGCTTTTGTTCAGTTGAGTGTTTTGGCATATCATATTTATTTGTATGCAGTGTAGAATGTTTGAGCCATTTGAGCCTAAGATGCTATGAAACTTTACAATAATATACAAAAGACAAAAAGAGTTGAACAATATACTAGCAAACAATTTATAACTGAAAAAGCTTACTAAGTTTTGAGTTTCTGAAAATATCAACAGTTTATGCTATTTTGTATATGTAAGTAAGTCGTATATTTCCTTTTAAAAGCATGATATTCTCGTGTAAATAAATTTTAAGGTCTATTATGCTCATCACGTGTTGTGATTGTGTCACGGTGTTTATTAAAGTATATTTTATTAAAGGTATGACCCAGATAGTTCAAATTCAAATTCCTATAAAGTTTCTACAATTACCGAATTTATTGATTCCATATCTATTATTTTGATTAGCAGTTTTTAATATCATTTATCATGTACGTACTATTTGTACCTAGTATGTTAGATTTATACAGTGATATAATGTACTTAGTATAAAAAATGATTTATAAATTGTGTTCTATGTTGTCATTCACCATAATTAATAGAACAAGTTTGCTATTTATACTTTTCATTAATATATTTACCACCCTCAGAAATTTTGTTCAGTTATTTAGAACTTTGTCTAAGCCTTTAAAGTTAATTGATCTTTTAAGATTTCTTTTCTCAGAATTTTAATAATCTTCCTCCTACACGAATATCTGATTAAAAGTTTGAGCTTTTAAATTTGTTCCAACTTCACTTGTAAAGAAGACATCGTATAAATTTGTTATTCCGATTTTATCGTTTTTGATAAATAACTTACTTGGGGACTTCCAAGTTGTATCTGTAGATGTCATGGGAGAAACTTTGTTCTTAAATGTTACAACTCTCGATCTAGATATGTATATTTTTAGGACGTATGTTCGCGAATTCAGATTTACTTAAACTGTAAATAATTTTTAGACTAGTCAGTATTAAACTTCAGATAAGTTATGTTTTATTTTGATGTACCTAATAGTACAGTAAACTAAACAGAATCAAGACAACTCTTGGCTACTTTAGGACTTTATTCTTATATACATTAATTTACTCTTTCTCGAATATTTCACATCTGCTTCTCAAGTTAATAGTTTATAAATTATTTTGGTGCTTTAGCATATAATGTGTAGCTTAGCTAGGCCAGCCAGTATTACACTGTTTTATGATTTATCTTGCATTTTTTTGTCAAAATTTTGTCTTAAAATATATTTTGTAAACCTGAGAAACTTAAGGAAAGTCTCTTGTTTTAGAATTTACCTTAGTTATCCTAGGATCTGTTTATCATAAATAGAGTTTGGTTTCTTCACCTGTCCTATCTTAAAATAAACTTAACAAATGCAAAAAAACTAACTCATATAAAAATAAATTTCAATTATTCTATAACTAGTTCTCCTAAAAACCTTAACTGCCTCAAAACTACCCATTTAAAAAAATCAAGTCTTGGTATTGTTAAACATTACTTGTCTTAAAACACACCTAAATTACCGGAGAACTATATCGATTTAAGATAAAACTAGACTTTTACAAAATTAGGCTGTGGTTATGTATTGATTACCTCAAAACTATCCAGTCTGTTTGTAACTAAGCACAAAGTTACACAATGGGCTATCTGTGATCTGCCCACCACGGGTATCGAAACTCGGTTTCTAGCGTTGTAAGTCCGCAGTGTTATCCAGTCTGATTGAAAAAGTTTTTTTCACGTTCGAATAATCAACTCTTACAAAACATATCTTGGTTTCTTTCAAATAGTACTATCACAAAAATGTTATTTTCTTTCGAATATACTTGCATTAAGGTAAAACATGATAAGAAAAACATTTTCTGCGTTTCTTAGAGTTACCTAACCTAAAATTGTGTTTGGCTACATCAAGAAATAGATCTTAACTATTTCAGGAGCACCTTGATTTAAAATATAAAGATCCAAAACTTAATTACATTAAAAATAACTTTTTTCAGATCCAGAACTTAATTACATTAAAAATGTCTTATGTCAGATTCAGAACTTCTTAATTTGACAAAAACTGGTTACTTCAGAAATATTTCCCTTTAACATAAAATTCAGATAAACCTAATCTCTCTCTCTTCATCCATATATTGTTGTGAAGATAGTATTGTTTTGTTTGTGTATTGGCATACATTGTTCAAGAGGCTCCACAATCCGGTGATGACGTGTGACACCAAAATATTTCCTGAGTGTCTAAGTTTGATGTGACGTAGGAAATAAGATTTAGACCTGAAGTGTTATTTTATATTCCTCTGAACTATAATCTGATATCGTCAAATTAAGAGTAATGTAGAAATAAACCACCTCAGTTTATTTTATTTTTATAGCGAAAGCTAGGCCTATTGGTTTCCAATGGTTTACTAGTTTTTGATACTGTAACCGTATGGTGCATAAATAATTAGTGACGTGTTCTGGTATTGTCCGAAAAGCATCTTGGGCAGTGACTTGTGGGAAGCAAAAGATAGATCTGAAATGTTATTTTTTACACACTACTGGTTTGAAATCAATAATAGACACATCAAGAGCAATTGCAGTCTATGTGATTTTTATCAAAAAAGCTATGTCTACTAGTTTTCAAAATACTTCGTTAGCTTTTGGAGTTTGAACCGCAACTTATCATATATATATATATGTATATACTGGTTATTTTAAAAATTTACTTGGCTATCTTCAGCTCACCCAGTACTGAAATCTACTCTGACTATTTCAGACATATCTTGTCTAAAAGTGCACTTTGGGAATTTGGAGTATACCCTGTATTGAATTCTACTTTGGCTATGTCTGGTATACCTTGTCTTCAAATCTACCTTGATTACTTCAGGAATACCTGGACTTACATTCAACTTCTCTGTTTCAGATGTATCTTTAATACTTAGGCGTAGATTTCAAAAAATGGATTTTGGTATATTTCATGGTTTTCTATTCTTAAATATACCATATTTCTTCTGGTGTGCTTTATTCCAAATAACCTTTTAAATATTTTAATTCAGTGTTACAAATATCTTTGGAATATATGTATTGAGTATCTTAGGAACTGCACTGTCTTTAAATATATATGCGTATTATGTATGTATTTCAAAGTTATTATACTTTTCAATCACGACCGATTACATTAAAATTCTGTTTTCCTTCGCTTTTGTTTACTTAATCAAGATTTTCATTACTCTCTATAAATCGACCTTGTTAATTTACACCGTCTCATAGAATTTTAGATTAATTTCTTAGATATTTCTAAGTTAATACCAGATTCCTTTTCTTAAACTTTTTCGGCCCAATGAAGTCTACTTTTCTCAAATAAAACTTGATTATTAAACAAATTAAACAATCTCACGTATTTAAGTATCGTGAATCTATATTACCTTTATTTGGACTACTAATTTGAAATACATCTTTGTTATATATACTTATTCTTGTTTTGAAATATATCTAGAATATATTAGAAAAACACAGACTTATGTTTATGTAATTGAAATATCAAAATATTAAATGTTAAATACGACTTGTACGGACTACATCTACCATGATAATTTTGGATCTAATCTAAATTAAAATTAATCTTATTTAATTCATTACTTCTTTCAAAAATAAACATAGATGTTGACGTTTTCTTGACAGTAAAATGTATTTTCAGAATCATATACTCTAGTCTACCAGGTTGAATTAAATTTTATCACCTTAAATAT